CTTGCGGAGAGCCAGTCCCAGGAAGGTGGGTGTCCCGGTGGGTTTGGGGTCCCCGGCCACCATTGTGGTGTTCTCATGGGGGACGGCCAGCTGGGTACGGGGCTGAACGTGTTCTCTGTGCTGCCCAGCTCTGGAGACCTGTCCCACCAGGGAGCATGAGTGCTGTCTTGTTCTGCAAGCCACAGGGTCTCCAAATCCCTAGATCACCCCCCAAAGCCCCCAGGAGGGTGGTGGGGGCGGAGAGAGGGTGTGGGATGCCATTGCCAGCACAAGGATGCGTCGGGCACAGCCTAAAGCTCTCAGCTCCCCTCTTTCCTCTGTTCCTACTCTGCTGTCTACCAGAAATGATGGTAGAACAAAGCTTTGCAGAAGCATCAAGGAACCCCATAGTGTTCTGGGGTCAGGGGATTCCTTGTGTCCCGGGGGCCACTCACGCCTGTCCCCCCGTGTCTGGGCTCAGATAGCACGGTGCGGAAGGAGCGGGAGGTGATGCTGCGGCTGAAGGAGGTGGTGGACAAGCAGCGGGATGAGCTTCGTGCCCAAGCCCACGAAATCGTCTGCAAGAGCCGAGACACGGAGGCGGTGAGCATGTGGGAGCTCGCGGGTGTGGTGTGTGAAGGGCCCAGGGACCTGCTTTCATGTCACCTCGCCCTGGGGCTGTCACGGCAGCTGGTGAGCCTGCTGGGGCAGATGCCTTTCCCCTGGTGCTGATGTCCCTGGGTGGGGGCCCGGAGCTGCTGCTGTGCCTCACTCTCCGCTGCCCTGTGCCCTCCAGCTGCAGGAGCAACTGCATCGCTTCATGGCCATGAACGAGGAGCTGCGTCACAAGGTGGCTGTGGTGCAGGCTCAGCTCAAGAGTGCGTTGGAGAAGAAGTCGGACCTGGAGGCTGCGATGCTGCAAACCCAGAGGGGAATGAACAGGAGGAGCAGGGCCACCTCTGAGACCCAGCAGCCAAAGCCCAGCCTGGTGAGTCCGAGCCCGTGGCCCCGCTGCTGAAGGGCACCGATAATGCCGGCCCGACCTTCCTGTCCCTGCACGGGGCTCCTGTGATGCCTGGACCCGCCAGCTGCCTGCGGGACACGTCTGCTCGAGTAAGCTCCGCTGTTGAAAATTGAGCAGTGCAGTGTCTGCGGTGCCGGCAACACCTTGTCTGTACAAATTGGTAGGGGTGGAGGCAGGAGTGAGCAAGGCGAGGTGATGGGAGGAAAAGCCGTGTGGGACTCGGATGATGAGGGGGGTTTGCCACGTGTGGCGATGGGTGGTGGGTGCTGGCTGAGCTGAGGAGTCACCGTGGTCCCCAGAGGGCTGCAGTGGCGCCGGACTGGCAAACTCATTCCTGAGACTTTTCCATCTCTGCCTGCGCACAGCACCCAGCCTTCGGGTGGGGGCTGCGGGGTCTCCGCTTGCCTGCTGACTCCCTTTCTCTCCCCGCAGGAGGGAGCACCATCACCCACAGAGGAACTGCAGCACCAGGACACGGGCGGGAGCCCTTCTCACTGCTGCTTCTCCAAGGAAGAGCTGCAGGAGATCCTGCAAGAGCGGAACGAGCTCAAGACCAACCTGTTCTTGGTGCAGGAGGAGTTGGCCTATTACCAGCGGTGAGTCCTGCCACGGCGGCGTGGGGCAGCGAGCCGGGTCCCTCCTGTCCCTGCAGCCACCCGTGACCCATCAGAGGCTGCTCCTGGCGCAGCCGGGGAGGATTTCTTTGCCAGGCTCGGGGTTAACCAGCTGGCTGCTTTTTTGCCAGGGAGCTGCTGAACGAAGAGAGAGTTCCCAGCTTCTTCTTGGATGCAATGAAGTCGACTATCAAAAGACAGAGAAAAAAAATCAGAGCCAAAATGCTGGGAACAGTGGAGGAGTCGGCGAGCAGGTGAGTCCTGCTCACCAGGAGGGAGGACAGGGAGCCTCCCGTGCGGGGTGGATGCCGGCTGGTGACCCCGGTGTTTCCATGTGGTGTGACGCCCTGGAAGGGAACTCCCCCAGGCCAAGAGCTGCTCTCCTCCCTGCCTCCTTCCAGAGATCAAAGGTTTATTGTCAGCAGTGGATGTCTTGCTCCAGCTTAGCCCTGGGAGCGCCGCAGGGGCTGGGCTCTTCTCTGCTGCCGCTCGCGTGTCCCTGTCACCAGTCACACACAGCCTGGCCAAATGCCACTCGTCCCTGCATGGACGTGGGAAAAGGGAGGCGAGGTGGTGGTGGCACTGGGACCACCGGACGAGGCCGGCTGGTCCCTGCGCTGTACGATTGGAGGCTGTCCAACGGAGAGCCTTTGAAGATGACAGTAGAGATGTTCCCTGGAGGCTCTGCAAGATGTTCGTGGGCAGCGTTGGCTCCAACAGACTTCTCACGATGGGGAGGGCAGGACCCTGCCGGGCACCAGCGGTGGCTCTGCGTGTCTGCTGGCGGCGGGGATCGAAGCCTGCGCTAAAGCTGCTGTATGGCACTGGGGGAGCTGGATATCACTGGCTTTTAGGGGCTTTAATAAAGGTCTGAAGGGGGCTGAGCTCTTCTACGCTGCTGAAACCTGCTGCATGTTTGCATCGGGGTCTCTGCTGGTGGTGGGGAGGTCTGGGGGTGTGGGGTCCTGCCTTCTCGCCTCCCTGCCTGGCAAGGATAGCCGCTGCCATACCAACGCTGCCCTGCGGTCCCCTCTCGTGTGTCACCCTGCTTCCCTGCGAGGCCCGGCCGGTGGTGCTAATTGTCAGGCTGTTCCCCTGGAGAAGCGTGCGCTTGCTGTGTGGGGGGAGATGCCTAAAGACTGCTGCGGCGACCGGGGATGCACCGTCTGCTGACCAAGCGCCGAGGGTTTGAAGCCAGTGTCTGAAGAGCCGTGTGGCTTGAGATCACCGAGTCAGGGCTGGGCTTGCCGTGAAACGCAGCTGCGTCTGGGACATGAGCATCCCCACAGCTGGCTGTGGCTTTGTGGCAGGTCATAGCCCACTGGTGGTTTGTGGGGACAGCAGCTGCAGTCTGTGTGCCGCTGGCTCTGCAGCAGCCTCCGCACATGTGGCTCTGTGGGGACGCTGCTGGGCTCGACAGGGAGTCCCAGGGTGGCTGTGGCACTTGCTGGTGGCGAGCCCATGACTCAGCGCAGGTTTTCCCCTCTCTCCTTTGTGCTGCAGCGATGAAGACGAGGGCTCGTGGCACCCAGCTCGTGGCGCAGACTGCGTGGATGCTCAGCCTCCTGAATCCAAAATTAGGAGCTTGTAAGTTTGCTTCCATGCTCCGGTGCTGCTGGGGACAGGGTGGCTCTGCCGGCAGAGAGGAGGTTTGGGGCTCAGTTGTGGCGCCGGTGCCCGCCGGGCTTGGTGCCTGCCCTGCAGGGTACCACGGGGATGGAGCAGGGCTGCCTGGCACGGGACTGGCAGGGATGCTGCTGCAGGGGGGTCGCTTGGTGCAGGGCGGATCTTCTGGTGCAGGGCAAGCCTTGCTGCTGCCCCTGGGGTGCTGCGTTCTCCCAGGGGCTCACGGTCGGGCTGCATCTCACCACCACCACCACCAAACAGAGGGAGGTTGGGATCCGGCTCCTTCCCTGGGAAGGCTCTTCTCCCCCACAGCTGTTATCTGCTCTCTCTGCAGTTTTGGGCTGTGGTATCAGGGCAGCAGCAAAGACCCCCCCGCATCCACCTGCTCCGGAGCCTGGGAAATCATCGACTCACTGGACCCGTGGCTGGAGCCAGAGGGAGAGAGCAAGCCAGCAGCCGGCTCCCCCGACAGAGTCACGCCGCCCCTCTGACCCCACCTGAACGGGCGCCGGATCTGGCCTCGCAGCAGTGCTTCTTGGCTCCTCTTCTCCTGGCATCTTCAAGAGCAGCACAGCAGCCCCGGCTGGTTCCCCATGCCGCGGTGACGGCAAAGCTGCAGTGTGGGGGCAGCCTTCCTCCAAACCCGCTGGGATGCTCGGCCGTGGGGTGCCCGCCTGGCACGGGACAGCTCGGCACCTCTGGGCATCTCTGCCCATCAGCCACCCTTCCGTTGTGTCCACACCTGCTTGTGCCCACGGCTTTGCTACGGGGGTCCTGCACAGCCACGCTCTCCACTTCTTCGTGCTTGCAGCTCAGCGTGGTGGAGGTCTGCACCCATTTCCCCCCGCTGCACCCCAAAGGGGTTCTTTCCGCCAAACACCTCTACTCGCAGCCCAGAATCCCATCACCGGATCCTGCCTTGTGCGGTATTTTGCTTCACCCCTTTCCATTCATACCTCCCCCCATCCCTGCAATGTGAAGGTCAATTTGGGGTCCCTGGGCCAGCCGGCCGAGCACTGTCCTGGGGTCACCGCGTGGCTGGGAGGGGCTGAGCACACTGCACCGGGTGTCCGGGTGCTCCTGTGTCTGGGAGCAGTCGGGATCAGCACCGCCAATGCCACTCCTGCACTGTTCAGGCGTGGGGTGAATCGGTTTTGTACTGGGACCTCTTCCTGCTACTACTGGGAACTGGAAGACTGGAACAATCCTTGTATTCACGGGGGCGACTCGGTCCCCTCGGCTCAGGTACTTTCTAGCTCTAGAACTGGAGTCGGAAATAAATCAGTCTCATTTCTCCTTTGAGGTACCACCGCAGCCTCCGCTCTCTCCTTGCTTGGGAAGGGCTGGGTGATGCCGCTGGGCTTCGGTCACAGTTCTCCAGCCCAGCCCTCACTTTTCCTGTGTTGATTGAAAGGGCTGCGGCCGGCTGCGGTCTGCCAGACCACAGAGCCCTTTTCGGGGGTCAGCTCCGATGAGGAATGGGGCTACAGGAGCTGCAGCGCTGGCTGTGATGGAGTTAAGTCCTGCATGGCCGGGGGAGCAGCAGCACACTTCCAGCCCAGGGGCCCCCCCAGGCCGAGCCGGCCTTGGGTAGGAAAAAGGTGTTTCCTGTGCATCTGCTGACACAAAGCTCCTGGGGAGACGACGAGGTGGGATGGCAGCCAGCAGCGGTTCAAAGGCCAGCCTGGGGAAGGCCATGTCCCCATGGGGAATGGGAGGATCCCACCTCTTAGCCCCCACCAGGCACGGCAGCACTGTGGGGCAGCACACGGGGGTCGGGGCAGGGGGAGGCAGTGTTGTATGTTGGGGGTATGTTGGGTAAAACAGCTTTGAGGGTGATGGAGGATGGTGCAGGGCGAGCGGGATGACTGCAGGTGAGATGTTCAGGCAAGCACAAGCCCCTGTGTGGCTGCGCTGAGCCCCTGGACACCCATTTCTGCTGCTAAGGTGGTAGTAAGGGCCAAAAATAGCCCGTGCGACAGCATTCCCTGCCTCCCCCCTCTCCGCCGCACCCCTGACGTCTGGATCGGGGCGCCTCCTCCCACATTTCCTCAGGAAGAAACCCAAGGCTGGTGGGAGGAAGAGGCCGCACCACAGGAGGGACAGGACGGGACGGGACGGGACGTACGGGACAGACGGACACCGGCACGGGGCTGAAGAGCCACCGGGACTTGGGCCCTCGTGCTCTGTCAGGATGGGGAGCGCCCGGCCCATCCTCTGCCTCCAGCTGTGGCTGTGGGTGCAGAGCTCTGCCCAGGAGCTCGACCCTGACGGCAGGAATGTCTGCAGGTAGGTGCCACGGAGGTCCCTGCTTGTGCCTCACCATCTCAGCAGCCCCAGGGGGTCATTGTCCATCTGTTCTTCCATGGATGAGGATCTGCAGCCTGGCATTGAGTGGGTGCAGAGACTGGGGTGATGCTGGGGAGCGTGGTTGTGGTATGCATGGGCATTTAGGGCACCCAGGGCTTATTTCTCACGCACACGCAGCGCACAGGGCAACAGGGGGGGATGGGGGAGCGTTGGCAAAACTTCCGCCGTGCACCAGGTGGGAAACGAAAGCGTAGCAAACCCCAAAAGGCTTTTGGAGCTGACATCCCCTCCGCTTTGCTGCCGCATTGCCTCTCCTGTTGGTCTCGCCATCAATGGCAGTGCCTTCCGTTGCCTTCGCTTCGGTGCCTTTGCTCTGTGTCGCTGGCAAAGCTTTCAGCCGCTCCCAGAGCGTCGGGGACCCGTCACGGGCTCCATAGCGGCAGAGCCAGGTCGGTTTACCCCACTGCCCAGTCCCGCCGCCCACTCGGGCTGCAGCCTCTTAAATTTCCTTCTATTTTGCTGGCTTCCTTCCGCAGCGATGCCCCCGGGGGGCCGTGCTGCTTCCCCACCCACCGGGGCCCGCCGGGCCGGTGCAAGCGCCCGCATTTGCTTTGCCTGAGCCGAAGCTGTGAAGCCACACCGGCCCCGGCCCCTCTGTGCCCTGGCTGATGGCCCCCATGTCTCTCCCACAGGCCCCCCGCCGGCCCAGCGTGCTGCCCCGGCTGGAAGCAGGAAGGGCGGGAGTGCACGGCCGGTGAGTGATGGACGGTGATGAAGCCCAAAGCTCGGTTGCTGCAGTCAGTTGGGTGGCTCCTCTGTGGCGCTGTGTGTTGGGGGGGAAGCCTACAGCTCTTGTCAAACGGCAGTGGTGGGGTGCTGCACCGTGGGGACCCCCAAACTCCCACCGAGCAAGATGCTAATGGTGCTGCAGCTTGGCTGGAGGGATGGAGCGGGAAGCTGGATGGTGGTTTCCTCGGGAAGGCTGCCTCAGTGGGAGGTGGCCGGTTGGCGGGTGGTCCAGCAGTGGGGTGTGTGCCTGGCGGGGACTATCATGTGCTGACGTGCCCGCCCTGCTGCCGACAGCTCTCTGCGAGGGAGAAGATGCCTGCGGGGAGGATGAGGTCTGTGTGAGACCCGGCGTTTGCCTCTGCAAACCCGGCTTCTTCGGAGCAGACTGCAGTTCCCGTGAGTATTTCCCCAGGGCTCCGCTCTTGCCGTCCCCTTTGCCAGCCTGGATGCTCGGGGGCTGCCGGGCTTCCCCGTTCACCCCCCATCCTCAGCATCTCCTTGCCTTCGCAGGCTGCCCCGAGCAGTACTGGGGTCCTGACTGCAAGCGGAGATGCCCATGTCACCCCAACGGGCGCTGCGACCCGGCGAGCGGACACTGCACCTGCGACCCCAACCACTGGGGAGAGGTCTGCCAGTTCC